CTCTGCTGGGGCTGTGTGCYCCCAGAGGCGCTGGGCACCTTCCTGGGCAGGCCAGGGACAACCAAAGGCTTCCACAAGTCTGCAAAGCAGCACCTCTTCATGGCTGCCATGCACCAAATGGAGCTGTAAGAGCCTTTCACTTCGAGGATTCATGGGCAGAGTTCCACCAGCCTTACTCACTGAAATGGATGAACAGCTCCTGATGAGACTTTCAGCAAGCAATGACAGCAAAGCCAGCCAGAGGCAAAAACCTGGAGGGAAGAACTTCAGCCTAAATGATTAAATCTGGCAAAGTCTTAAGACAGTGAAAGAGAAAATCTTAAAAGAGGAAGTTTCAGATGATCTTRATGCTATGCACTGCAGCTTGTAGTGTCTGTAATAGGTTATTTCCAGAGCATCTGAGCGTCTTCCAGTAGTGCATTAAGCAATGCAATTAACATCTGTCACGAGGTTCATTTTCCCTCTCATCTCCACCCTCGAGGGAAATTCTCTCATTTCTTAACCTCTACTGGACCCCCACTCAATAATGCTCATTACCTCAAGAGAAAAAGGAAAAGCCTATAAAAAAGAGGAAAAAAAGAAAAGAGATAATAGATCTAAGATTCAGGCTGCTTTGGTGACATTTTTAAAGTGTTTTCTGCCAAGCAAAAGAGCATTAAAAAAAATCTTTACATTATATTTAAGCATTGAAAAGGAAAGACAAAATTATTGAGCTATTTTTCCTTCACCCATGATTATGCAGCAATTTATCAACAAAATGAAGCACGAACATCTGACTGGGATTATTTATTATACAGTAAGGCATTTATTTTTTGTTCACTTCACCAGAAACAGTGTCTCTGTTATGGCTAGTTAGCCATCTGTGTCAGAAGAGCTTTCAGGAAAGGATTAAACTGTCATTTGTTTTATTTCCTTTCAAGAAATAACTCTCCTAACARGGCTGGGGCAAGACTTGGGTATTGCTGGACTTGTTACCTTAAGGCRGCATTTAAAGGAGTGACTGGATCTTCCCTAGAGCTAAAGCAAAGTAWTGTGAAGTCAGGGGGGTTGTTTTTGTTCTTTTTGCACCTCACACATGCAGAATCCTACTGGAAATGGCACAGATTAGGCAATGTCTGTGCCATGCTTTAGCAGAAGCGGAATGATCTGTGGATTTATCTTTTAAGATCTGATTTATTCACTACAATTAGCCAATATGGCTTGGGTTTAAGCACTGAGAGAAGGKGCAGCTAATCAGGGCTGGAAGCAGGAGGTGACACAAATGGCCCAGGAAGGCAGAGGTGTTCCACATCCCCCAGGTGCAGGGGATCCCCAGGCTCAGCCCCACAGGAAGCAGCACCATGCCATCCCTTGCCCATCCACAGCTCCAAAAACAGGGCTAAAATCTTCCAGCGCTTCTTCCCTGCAAGGAATGAGCACAGTCAGGCACTGGTGCAGAGACTGCGATCTGTGTCCTCAGGAAGAGCAAACGTGGGGCAGAAGATTACACCCTGTGGCTCTGGCAGGGGCAGCCTCCCAGCTCTCACCAGGGCACCACCACCAGCTCACTCCTGACCTGTGTCCAAAATCAAAAGCACTTTCCCAAGAAAGGGGCAGATCTGGAATGTTTGATGCAAGTCCTCAWGACAAACTTTTACCAACTGATTTTTCGGAAGCACTTGGCAGCCACAGCTCTCAGACACTTGCCATGCCTGAAGTGACAACTGTGCTCTGTGAAGGTGCACAGGAACTGAGAGCCAGAGTGCCCATGGAAGAGAAGCCCTGGAGCAGCTGGCACCAGCCCTGGCTGAGCCTCGAGGGGGATGCTTCAGCCAAGGAGGGCTCTTACAAGAGCCACACATCTGAAAGGATCAGAATATGGGTTTTCTCGAGGTGTTGGCTTCAAGGACCATACATGACACTGCAGTGAATTCCACACACTACCTTTGATTGAGAGGAAGAGCTGATTTGTAGTGAGTGGTAGCTGAAGAACCAGGTATCCAGCCTGATCCATCGACTGCAGCTCTGGAGAGTGCTCCAGCAGGAGCTGCTCTGGCACAGAGGAACAGTAGAGCACACTGCTCTGCTGCAGAGGAAATAAAACACTGACATCTATAGGATGTTAAATATTTCTAGCAGCTACAATAAGAAGAAACCCATAAATAATATCCATTCTTCACTAATATTTTCTGCATTCCTTCACATCAAGAGCTGTCTCAGCCTTTTTGACCATTGTTGTTCATGTGGTACTTGCTGCAGCCCCAAACTGCTGTGTGATGCCTGGACTGACCTGCAGGACATGTCCAGGGTGACTCCAGGGATGACAGGGAAGAAGCACCAGCAGCAAATGGATGGGATGAACAGAGGCAGCAGCGGGGGAGGACAGAGCTCAGCAGGAATCACAGCCCTCCCTAGGAAGGGGATGGGGGCACCTGGAGGAGAGCCCTGTCCCCATTTAGAGCCCTGCTGCTTCCCCTCGGGGTGTCTCCTGCTGGGGGGGCACACGAGGGGCTCCTACAGGGCACTGCTGCCTGCTGGGGCTGAGAGTGAGGGAACACRGACCCCTGGCTCTGTCCCGGGAAGGGTGGCAAACCCAGCAGGTACACACAGCCTGTTCCCACCTGSGTGTCCCCAGTGCCCCCAGGGACAGCCCTGCACCGCCTGCCCACATTACCTGAAACTGCTCTGCTTCTAATCCCTGCTAACTTTGGAATAACCTGGTCACAGGCTGTGGGGCTGCAAATCCACAGAGCTGGAACCCTGTTCCCAAACCAACAGGAGCATCTAAATCTCCTGATCAATTCCCASACAAACAAAGCCAAGAAAGAGGAAGGACATCCACAGCAGGCAGCATTTTCTCAGCAGAAATACAATTATAATGTAGTTAGACTCTCTGTTTACATTCCCAAATTGAAATAATCTTTTTCTTATCCACCTGCCTTAACTACCCTAACCCTGCACTGCCATAGTGTCAGCAGGGAATCCTGTTGCACTGTCAGAAGCTGCACTGAAGGATTGGAGTCATGGTAGAGACTGAAATTCTCAGTCATACAGAAAAAGCATTTGGTTTTCTGCTTTGGACTAAAAAAGCCTCTTCTTAGAGAGGATTGGAGTTTCCAAGTGTTCAAGAGGAAGAGCAGTTAAAATAATTTCCATTTTAATGGCTACTTTGCAGCCTTTTTGCTTTCAACTTTGAGAAAAGCTTTGAGCTTTCCCTGTTCACAGAACTCTAAAATAGGTAAGGTTGTTTGATTTCAATAGTGAAACAATATAATTCCTAGGATTCTTGCTGTGACATTGGCTCAGGGGAGGTGAGAGAAGATGCAGTCACTTTTTGAGAAGCAGCAAGATTGCTCCAAGGAGGGACAATGTCAGAATTTGGTTTCTTGCTGCCTTACACAGTGTCCCCTGGTCTGCTCCTCCCCCATCCCTCTGTGCTACTRGGTATCTGCTAAAACACACCTGTGGGAAGTTTGGGCTTTTAAATCTCATCAATGTCCCAACAGTTCCTTAACTTGCACAAAGTTTATTCCTATCAGKTTTTTTTAATTGCAGTTTTCCTGGGAGAATCTCTGCAAGTATCTCCCTTCAGAAACACACTACAGAACATGCCTGAGCTAAAGAGTTTTCCCCTCCACCCCAAGAAAACTGAATGTTCTCCGAAAGATTAAGATTTTTAGATTTAAAATTCTCGTGTTTAGGCTGAAATTACAAGCTAATAATAACAATCATGTCATTAAGTCTGGATGAAAGGTTTTGATCATGAGGAAGGTACATTCCAACACAGTTCAAATGCAAAATCTCAAAGGTTTGGGCCCCTCCCTCTCACACTCCACCTCCTCTCCCCCTCCCTGTGCTTCTGCAGAAACACAGAAAGAAAGAGCTGAAAAACCAAGCGAGAAAATGTAATTTTCTCTACAGAATGAAAGCAAAACACTAACAAATGTCAATTATAGCAAGAAACTTATTTTCTGCACAAAATACATGTTGTTTTTTTTTCCAACAGGCTCCAGCTTACAGTAAAGATGTAACACATGAAGGGTAAAAGTGTAACACATGAAGGCAAATATGGTTTACATTTTAAGAATTTCCATAATTTTATGGATTACATTGATGAGAAATGCACTGGTGCACTTTGAACTGCCCGTAACAATTTTGTTGTGGGATATACTTTGAATAATTCCTTTGCAAAAAGCGTGATTATATAGTCATTAGAAAAGGAAAGTTGCACTGRAAGACCCAAGTTTCTAAATTAATGGTATTTCAATAAATAAGGTGGCATAAATTCAACATACTGACTGTCCAATTAATCTCCCTCTAAGCTAAAAATGTATCATTGCTCTCTAATTGCAATTCCCAGCCATGCCATCCTCTTCATCTTAATTCTAAATGGTCTGCACTTATCGAATCATTTGCTGTGCRCTGCACAATCCTCACCCTTAATTGCACAAATATTTTATTTTTGGAACAGCATGGCTCAGCAACAGGCTTCATTTTTCTTTTCCYGACTTAGTCGCTGTTAAAGCATTTACAAAAGCTCTGTGAGCAGGGAGAGAACCTGAGTTGCCCCTCCATGGCCARCAGTTCCCAGCTAATCACAAGTGAGCCCTGCAGCCCCGTGAGCAGCGCAGTGATTAAAGCAGCTCCAACAAAGCAACTTTGTGCACAAACATCTCCCTCCGGTTATGATCCCTATTCCCCAGATGTTCGACTCCGAGCTCAGCCTTGGCAGCCCAGCCTCCGTGGCTGCAGTTCAAGTCCCAGGCTTGGGCAGCTCCGGTGTTTATCCTCATAATTTACACTTTGAGATGGCTTATGGACAGTTTTGTGCTCGGTTTTACAGCCACCACTTCAAACCAAGGGCTGATCGTGCTCTTGTGGAGCCCGTGGTAAACGCTTCCCCAATTCCAGCACTGGCACGAGGCCCTGCACCATCAAACTGGCTCTCAAAGCAAACAGGCCAATACAAAAGAATGATTTGCTTCAGAAATAATTTTAAAAATGCCAGAAATCTTACTTACTAGGAAGTCTTCTTCACAGTACACCTTGCCATTGACATTGTAAAATGCTTTTCCTCGYAGTCTTCTCCCTGTTAAAAGACGGGATCATCAGAATTTTGTTCTCCATCCCCAGACCCGGTCGTTCAGGACACGCCCTGTACCTGGCTGTGGGGTCTGTTCCTGGTCCCTCTCTTCCCTGGACGACCCATGCAGAGGCAGGGCAGAGGGTCAGGCTCTTGGCTCYATCCTTACCAAAACAGGTACCAAACCTTGCCTTAAATACAACTAAGTGTGACCTCCAAGTGTGGGTTATGGAACCCAGCTGATACCAGTTCCTGAAAAACSTGAAATCTAAACTCGGAAATTATTTGGGTGAAAAGGCTCCTTTGCAAATTGAGACAATTTTCTTGGCAGGTAAAATCCCAGCAGGCTCACAGCTATTGTGATCAACAGCAACAGCATTTGTCTCCCAAGGACTACACAAGGGATACCACACATGGATGCTCYTGCCACCCTCAAAAACATCAATAATCAATGCCACAGCAGCTCCCTGCACCACTAAAGCAGTACCAGGCACACATGGCAGAGGGAAGAGCAGGAAAATCACATTGAAAACAAGAGATTTGGTATTCAAGTTTTGACATTTGCCATTTCATTAGCCCAAGTGGAACTCGACTGGCAGTCTGAAAGAACTCAACTGACAGACTGAAAGCGTGGCGTGTGACAGTCATGAACTGATGGCTCACTTTGTAGTGAAGAAATGCAGAGCAGACTCCTGAGAGTCCCCACAGAAAGGATTCAATCCAGGTTAAGAACCACCAGGCCCCATCAGTTTGTAGCTATAGCAGATCAGAGCTGTCTTACACCAGAACCGTACTGCTGAAAGCAACACTGCCTCACCAGTGTGACACCCAAGAGGGAGGAGGGAGCCACACTCATCCCAACTGAGCTCATTCCCTCTCTGCCACAGGACCACACTGGCCACAGCTCCCTGGCATGTGGCAGCTCCCAGCAGCTCTCTGCAGCCCCAGAGGGACAGGGGCCACCTTGAGCTGTGCCAGCAGCGACACAGGGCAGGGAAATGGCAAGAGGCTCCACATGCACAGGCCACCGGATCCCTGGTCACTTCCAGAGCTTCACTCCATGGACTCAGCCTGGATTTCTCCCCCAGCTCCACCATGAACACATGGATCTCTGGGGAGAGTTTGACACCGAGGGCCGGCGAGCTGAGCCAGCTGGCCAGCACAGAGGGCAGGAGCGCTCTCCACTGCTTCCATAAACAATATTGAGGAAAATATAATTAATTTTCCGTGCTTGAAAGCGCCTTTTACGTGTTGCCACTGTGATCTGATCCTGGGAAACAGAGTGTGGCACAAAGGAGCTGGGATCTGGGCTGATGCTTTTGGGAAATCACATGCTGCATGCGGTTGTCTGGTGGTTTTACTGTCGTGGCTGAGAGAAATGCTTCTTTTGTGTGCACATTCTTGGGCTGTCGATCTCAYGGGCTGCTGTCTCCATACTGCTGGTAGGTGGAGTCAGCTCTTGTTTGTCTTTCCAGCTGCCTGGTAGCTCTGGTGGGGACCAGGACCCCKGTGACGTGGGCAACGTGCTCATCCTCTCTGAGAGGCTTAGGTGAAGCTGGGCCATCTCCTGAGCAAGGCACAGCCTGGGACCGTGGGGCCTCTCCCAGCTGGGGCAGGAGCAACCACATCCAGACCTTCCCTCCTGCTCAGCCAAGCTGGTTTTAAACCTCTCCAGTGAAAGGCAAAGGAAGGAAGGGAGGGAGCAAAAGGAGGGAAGGGGAAGAGGCCAGAGTGGCTCTGTAAAGCACACGTTGTCTGTCAGATCCGGCCTTGGCACACAATTTCTCCTCAGCTGGCAGACGTGAAGGGGCTGCCCCRGAGCAGGGACCTGCCCTGGATGTGCCGATGCTCAGCGGTGGAGCTGGGCGTTTGTTTCAGGAGCGCTGGCCATCACCTCAGCACCCACCCACCATGGAAAGGAACAGCAGGGACAAACTGGGGACAAATTCCAAAGCCAGTGGCTGAAGGATCTTTGCAGGACAGCAACACTCCGAAGCAGGGAGGCACTGCAGAAGGTGCAGGAGGACCCCACATCCCACTCTATGCCCCAGCCTGCCAGTGCTGAGGTTGGTAGGAAGGGCACAAATCTCACTCTGGTTCTTCCCTCAGCACAGCATCACTGGCAGAAGCCAGCAGGGTGAGCGCTCTCTGGACCTGGGGTGCAGTGGGAATGCTCTGAACTAAGGCAGAGCAGGCAGAGCYAATGTTTTGGGGTGGCTCTGGGACACAGCAGGCACCAGGTGCATCTGGCAGCTCTGCCCYGTGCCCAGCCCCACTGTGAGCCCTGCACTGGTGGGACCCCTGCTCCAGCCCCACGAACCTTCACCTGCCCTGCAGTGAGAGCTGCTCTCCCCACCCTACACCTGCCATCTCTGCACGACATCGCCCTCCCAGCACACTGCCTTCCAAAACTCAGGGAAAACACCATTCCCCCCATTTTCCAGCTGAGAAAAACAAGACATCTATTAGGGAACTGACTTGCCTAAACTCATAAAGCAGGCAAGCAGCTCRCTCACATGATAATGACTATTATTAGTAATGATTAATAAGATTGACAGGCCTTTTACCATAGAAGAATTTAATTCAGGGACCGTCCAATAATCATCTCATAAACAAGAAACAGCAAGTTATCACTCAAACAGCCATGGATGCCTATATTGGCTTCTATATCCTGTATTTGAAAAATGAAGGCAAAGTGTATATTATACAGCRCTGCCCTCCAGGGTTTATTGCATGACAGCCCTGAACTTGGTCAAACACCATCCTCTGWGTGCCTGGGCATCATGTGCAAACTGCAATCAAAAGCCAAGTGCTGCCAACTGTGGCCAGGGAGACGGGAATCAGAGGAGAGGCAGCACTGATGCCCCAGCCCCAGGGCAGCCATGCAGCAGGGTGGGTGCAGCCCCTGGATGTTGGGACACCTGCCCCGAGTCCAGGTACTGGACCAGATCATCTCTAGAGGTCCAGGAGTGACTCAGGGATCTGCACAGCACCAGCCTGTTTTGTGTAGCTGTAACCTGTTACTGTCAATTAGRCAGAAATGACACATTTAAATGCCCGTGATGTTCCTTTAGGCAGCTGAGTCAAGCACCTGGCCAGCCTGGGAAGGTAACACCTCCTGCCCACTGGCACACAGGCCCTGCTGCTTGGCTTTCCTTGGAATGGYTGAGTCTAGCCAAGCCTGCTTACTATTTGCTTTCATAATATTGAAACAAAAAAGTCAAGAGTTYCTGACAAAACTTGATCCAACTTGCTGACGGCTCATTACAATAATAATGAGCAGCCTAGCGCAGAGTTGAGGAGTGYGGGCTTTCACAAACACTGCCCTTGGCTCCTCCTCCTGCTGGATCCCCACCTCGGCACGCCCGCCCTGTCAGACCAGTTCCAGCAGCAACAGGAGCAGCGGGGAAGGGGAAGAGGCTTCGCTTGACAGGCGGCAGAGGAGCCGGGACAGCGCAGGGACAGCACAGGGACAGCGCAGGGACAGCACAGGGACAGCGCAGGGGGAGCGGCCGGGAGAGCCACCCCCGTGTGCTCCTGACACCGCCGGCAGCTCTGGGGAGAAGCCCCTTCTGGAACCCCTGAGGGCTCTGCTGTCCTGTTCTCCTATAGAAACAAAGCCAATGTGCTTCCAGCGACCAACACGGAGCTTCCATTCGTGCCTGACGCCCCTGCCCGGAGTGCGGCCAGCAGCGGGGTGAGGGAGCTCCACCGCCGGGGGAAAGGCACGGACCGAGCTCCAGCAAAAAGGGCAGAGAATCGGGAGATCATCGAGCAGATAGTCAAACAAAAGCTAGAAACTACTATCCCAAGGAATGATCACAACTGGTGGTTGCAACCAGCATGACAAACATCCAAAWTAACCCAGTTTTTTGGAACTCTTAAAAAAAGTAAGAAGCAGAATCATCTCTAGGTTTTTAACACTGGTTTGGACATTTAACCAGTTTATAAGTCTCTGGTATTTAAATGTGTCTTCCAGTTACTTCCTGCACCATTTTTATCTCCTACATGTTGCAAAACTAAAAGGAAGGAATGGGAGAGCTTTTGCTTTATCCAAGGGTTCAACTCAAAGACTCACATTGCAAAGGGAAAAATGACCTGCAGTTGACACGGGCTACCACAAGTGTTGTCCCCAGTCACCCCAACCCTTTGCTAGGTGGTGAATGTACACCAGACAGGAAGCCAAGATGGAGTAAAACTGTTCCAATGCTGCTTGAAATGCTGCTCYGGACCCCCACAGAACAAAATGTGAATCAGCCCAGGTTTTACTGCCCTGAGGAGACGGTCCAAGAGAACACTGCAAGTGTCCTGCCCCCTCCCCTCCAGCCTGGAAARCACCTTCCAAGCCCTCCCTGCCGCTGCTGGCCATGAGCATTTGCCTGTGGGGAGGTGAGTTTATCAATCACAGCTTCAGTGGAAGGTCTCCTGTCTCACACAGGATGGGTGCARCCGGATCAGGGGCTGACATCCCCCTGGCCGCTGTAAGACAGGAGATAGGAATGTCTCACTGTCACAGCAGGGTTATGAGAGCTAATTACTGTTTGCAGCATGCTTTGAAGTTGGAAAGTGCCAAGCATTATTATAATATTTGAAGTACTTTGATGATTAAAACCACGCAACCCTTTGGTAATCATGATTTAGTAGTACTGTAGAGTAAGCAAGTTCATGTGAGAAGCCTGCATTGTCTCCGTGTCTGACGCTACTCAAACACAACCAGCTCCMCTCTGACATCATGGGAATGCTGCARCCCCAGCCCTACCTTCCAGATAACGCCTGGTGCATCCCAGAGACAGCAGCATGCTGAAAAACCCACAGCAGAGCACCTCCTCAGCACTAGGATCCCTCTTGCGGTGTTCTCAACAGAGATGTGCCTCTTCTGACTTCATGAGGGAGAGTTTGAGTGTTAGAGGGGACAGAGGGTAAAATGACCAATAATGTCCTGTTATTTCTAGTGTCACAACTATGTGGAACAAGGATCTTCAATAAAATTAAACCCTTCCCTAGGG